TGTTACTCCCACTGCTGCTTTTTTGTATCGTCGACGGAAAAAAAAACTACCCTTTTTGCACAGTTTGCTCCACAGGACATCTGGTGGAAGACCAACAACACATTTGAGTTACATGCAAATACGCTCGAGAAGTGTGGACAATACTAAAAAATGTTGCTCTCCTCCCTCATCATCACGGGGACCTCTAGTCCAAGGATGCCATTCCTCTAGGTACTGCACTATTGTTTTTTACAAAACCACAAACTTATGTATATGAAACCATTAGGGCAACAGTTTTGTGGCATATATGGCGGCACCGTAACGCAGTGGTTAGAAATGATGAGCCTCCTTCGGTTCAGCAAGTACTTCATCGAGTGAAGACCGACCTACGGCATATCATCTGCTTGGATTGGAGCAAAAAGATTAGCCAAAGACGAAACTTGCGTGCTGGGGTCAAGTGGTTTCACCGTCATTGGGCCTGCAATCCCTCCTTGACATGTATTGATGCCTGTACCGGAGATTTCCAATTCGGCTCTTTCCTACAGTAGATCAACTCGTCTACTTTTTTTTTTCCCTTTAAAAACTTACTTGCTAGATTACGAAATGTAATTTTCTGTGGTTGTTTGTTAGCATTAGGATTTTCTTTAACTTTTCATTGAGCTGTCACAGGGGAGGAACTCCACCTCATGAAGTACATTGGAGACCTAACTTCCCCTGAATCTGAAACCTGTACAATTGTTTTTCTGACCTTGGGCACTGGGCCCTAATAAAAGATGATAATGTTTTTTTTTACACAAAAAAAGAAATTCCTTACCAAATGTAATAAAAAATATATATATTTTTTGTTTTATTTTCTAATATATATATATATTTATTTATTTTTTGGCCAAGCCGGGCAAGTCTGCCCGGGGCCACTTTGGTAGCCTAGGATTTTTTTGAAAATTCAATATTTGCAAAAACTTTGAATACAATGTACGTACATTATATTTTATGGTACGTTCTATTTGAAAAAACAATCAGCGATTTCTGAGGACCCGATTTTGAGAGGTAAGTTGAATAGAACGTACGTACGTTTTTTTTGGGTTAAAGCATCAGTGCATGGGCACCAAGCCTCGGGTTTGACACCTCAAATTCTGGAGGCGCAAAACGAAAACGTACCCGCCGATCGAATTATCAATAATGGGCCCAATGTTTGATGTTTGGGCCTCGTTTTCTTGTGGCAACAAGTTTCGGACTGCAAGGCTGGGGACGTGTACTTGTGGTTTAAGACAATAGTCCTGCGAAAAAGGTTGGAAAGAGAACTTAAACCTTTGGTGACATCAAAACCAAATAGGACTTTACAGAAAATAAAGACTACCCTAAAAAGGGCCTCATTCGGCACCACTTGAAAATAATTGAGTTTCAAGCGTGCACTAGACGAGAACATGTAATTAATTTACACTTACTCAATTTATGGTTCTATGTACACTTGAGGAAACCCTTGAACAGGCTGCACTTGAAACCGAACTCCACGACTTGACCAATCCTGGACCAGGATGGCCTGCTGGAAAAAAAAAAGAAGAAAAAAAGCCCCACTTGGAGTGTTGGAAGTATCCGTTCGCACTTGAACTCAAGGTTCCCCAGAGAGGTACCTTGAGTTCAAGTGCGATTTTGCCCTGGCCGCACTCGAGTTTCGAGGGCGGGCACTTGAGAAACAACTCCGTGGCCACGTTAGGGTGAGGTCGAACGAAGAATTTTCCTTTAACCCTTGAGTGAAAATGGTGTCGAACGAGACCCAAAGAACTCGATCTCAAGACCTTCCAAAGAATCGTCGACCAGACCACACTTCAAATCGCCGTTATGCCAAAGGAACTAAAAATAATTTCACCAGCTACCGCAATGCCCATTTCTTAATACAATGCAAAAAATGGAGACTAGTTGTATCAATTTGACCCGAAACTGAGTGATCTAGCCATGAGCAGGTTAAAGAGAGTCCTAACGGGCCTTGGAGGACCGAACCCACCTATGTGGCAAAATACGCGGATGACTTGTGGCTAGGAGTAAATAAAGAAAGAGTAAGAATCAATCGTCCGGGTATTGATTCTTCAACGTATTTTATGCTTCATGCCTTTTGCCCCCATGGGCGTGTGAGGGCTTATAGAAAAACTAGCTAAAAGATTCGAACCTTCAACCTACAGGGAAAAAACACCACAGGGACATCCGCGACCACTTCGACAAAAAAACAATAACCGACTATCATTCTCGAAAATGCTGATGACCACACCGTGCCCAAATATCATATATAAAACAGAGGGCCTCGTTAGACACTCCTTATGAGTTCCTTGAGCCACAAGGAATTTTCCTTGTCCGTGTGGATGCTGTGTGGTCCAACGTCATTTGGCGGGAAAGGGCATCGGGCGATCCATGGGACAAATACAAGCAGGGGGCCTCGACGTCCGAAATTCGAATTTCAAATGACGGCAGCGACGAGGACAACGACGTTCGGCAGGCGGCGCGAAGAAGGTGTAGTGCTGAACCGGGCGCGGCGGTGCCGTCCCTTCCTCCCACCTACCGCTGTGAATGCATTGGCGTCCTCGCTGGAGTCCATCGCCGTCGACCTTCTTCCACGTGGAGTGCGCTGTCGTACACATTTTCGTCGGGAGGACTACATCCAAAGAAAAGCGGCAGCTTCGTCAGACGTCTTCGGCTTGTGATCTGCCGTGTGGAAGGACGACACATACGACAGTGGACGGACGGATCCGTGTGGAGGTTGCGGCTATGGACGACGACGAAGAGGGTGGACGTGCGGTGTTGACACCTCTTGAGCGGGCGGTCGTGGCGGCGGCCGTGTTCACCGTTGTTCTTCGATTTCGGCAGGAGAGGGCGCTGGGACGAATGGAGGCGCAGTTGTGTGCGCGTAGACACAGGGCATTGACGCGAGGTCGGCATGAACTCCCTGACGTAGTGGCGACGTCGGAGGCTGGCATTCACCTGTGCTTCACGTTGGGTTGCGGAGTGCTTCCGCGAGCGACGCCGCGGCAGGGGAATCTCATGCGAAGGCAGGTGAGCGTACAACATCGGGTCGTATGCTTGGTTGCCCGCAGACCCTGCAATACGTTGTCGATTGCTCAATCCTGCTGTCGTGCCTACCGGTCTGCCGTTGGTCAGTCGTCACTCCATCTTGTCGCCCTTCTTCGAAGATCTTCATTTGCGAGCCGAGACAGGAAGCCCGCCGAGGAAATACACGTCGAAGAGGACAGCGATCACAACCAGCACGATGATGAGGAGTAGCAGAGACAGCCTGTGATGCAGGTCGGCCATGAAAGGGCCACGGACAGGACAGCAATGCGGGGTCAGAGGCCGACTATCCACTGAAGAAAGTCGTCGTGGACAGCAGAGGCGGGAGTGTACGTCGACAAGCAGCACGTGATGACAACGACGAAAATGACGATCTTATATGCAAAAAACACTTGCATCGTCGAAGAACGTGGCGACGCTCAGAAATATTGAGGACGATCTGCCCGCGCAGAAAACACAACGACGTTTGGCCGGCGACCACGAAACCGGCGAGCGGAGGCCCAAGCCATTGATGACCGTTTGGAGCCGTTGGGTTACCGTCGCGAGGGCGGAGGGCAGGGATGTCCGTGCTGCCGTCAGGCGGACCACGTCACCCTCAAAACGAAACTCCGCGTCGACGCATGCCTTCGCCGCTCCGAATATCGTGCGTCCTTGTTCTCCAAGGGACGTCGGGAGGTCCCTTGGGGATTAGGAAGAATTGGCTGGAGCCACAAGGACGATTTCCTTGTGGCGTTTTCACTTTATTTTTGGAAAATCATCCCCGAGGATAGGTGAAACGATCACGTCTTTGTGGATTTCGGGTCCCCAAGGAGTGTCTAAAGAGGCCCAGAGTCTCACTTGTACCGTCAGACAAAACAAGTTACACCGCCAGGAACGAGATTGCAGTCCCATGTCCAGAAGAAGTCCCACTCTTTTTTTTTTTTTTTAATGTCATCAAACAAATTATGGTTCCATAACATGTCTACATGCACCGGTGGTCCCATAGCCTTTTTTTTTTTTTCGGTCATCAAACCAATTATGGTTCCATAACATGTCTCATGCCCAATTGGTCCCATAGCATATGTAGAGCCAGGCCCACCTTTCTTTAGTAATGTGGAAACGTGGGGAGGAGCTAGAAAGGTGTAGCGCCAGGCCCACCTTTCTTTAGAAGTGTGGAAACGTGGGGAGGAGATCGGTCGAGGTGAGTTTCCTGTCCATACACGATGCCATCGCGGCATAGCTTCAACATTTCCCTCCGTGACTCTCTGCTCCTCGTCTTCCCCCCACGTAGTTTATTTCTGTGCGAGGGGCAGGCAGGGGTTGGTTGGTGAGCAGTCCCTCTCCCTTCCTCCTGCTCCCACCATTCGTTTTCTCCATCGCTTTGCTCCCTTGATCTCCTATCTACTGCCGTAGGACGGAGATCGACAAACATCCAAGCGACCGCTGACAAATGCACACCAACCTAATGGCGGCGGCACTTCATAGCCCCCCCACAGTCGAGGAGGACAAAGGGCATCGCCGCACCACTCTCTCCTGAGAGGGCGTGATTAATTGATAATATAATATAATATATATGTCGTCCAAATAAAAGCAGCCGCCGCTCAACTACATCCAGGGGGAGTTGTAAGTAAGAAGCAAAAAATTTTGGACCATTTCTCGATTTATGCGTGAAAAAAAAAAGCTAAAAAATGAATTGATAAATAAGTAAATAAACAAATAAATAAAATTTTTCGCTTTTGCGCTCTGATAACTTCGTGACGATATGCCTTTCCCGCCCAGGAAGGCGCCGCGGAGGCCGTCGTTGCGGCATTTCCCCCGCTCGAGGCGAAACATTAACATTCATACCTGATCCACGGCTGGTTAGCAGTTCTCTATCATCGACGGCTGGCCGAAACCTTGCAGGGAAAAAAAAAAAAAAAAAAAAAAAAAAACCCTTCAAGGGCGCGGTCACTACCGTAGTGTTCATATTCCGCCGTTCGCTGGATTCTTTCTGTTTCTTTCTCTCTCTCTCTCTCTCTCTCTTGCTTGTTCCATCTCCTTGACTCCAGCTGCGCTTCCAGTTGAATCACCATGGCTGACGTTGGCGGAGCAGAGCCGGCCGTGTCCCAGCCCAAGAAGCGTACGTTTAAGAAGTTCTCGTACAGGGGCGTCGATCTCGATGCCCTCCTTGACATGAGCACGGATGAGCTCGTGCAGCTGTTCCATGCGCGGGCTAGAAGAAGGTTTCAACGTGGTCTGAAGAGGAAGCCCTTGGCGCTCATCAAGAAGCTTCGCAAGGCGCGGCGCGAGGCTCCGCCTGGGGAGAAGCCAGAGCCCGTCAGAACCCACCTTAGGAATATGATCGTCGTTCCCGAGATGATTGGCACCATCATCGGCGTGTACAACGGGAAGACCTTCAATCAGGTGGAAATCAAGCCTGAAATGATTGGCCACTATCTTGCGGAGTTTTCCATCACCTACAAACCTGTGAAGCACGGACGGCCCGGGATTGGTGCTACCCACTCTTCTCGCTTCATTCCTCTGAAGTGAAAAAGATTCGACGCTGCAGTGGTTGGCATCATTGGACTTAGCCGTTCGTTGTAAACGAGCTGTGTTCCCTTCTGAATGGCGGAAGGGAAGTCCGGGTTCTTCTGAATGGAGGAAGAAGGAAGTCCAGGTTCATTGTACTTTGGAAAGTGACGGCGGCAAGTCCTTTGAAATTCGAAATGCGTTCTGACATATTTTGTCAGAAAAGAAGGGTGTGGATGGGGTATTGAAAAGGGTGCGGAAGGGGTATTGAAGAGCGTGGGGAGATGAAGAGTGAAAGAGTCGAAGAGGGGAGGAATGGATGGCCGGAGATGATCTGGAGAGGATTGTAGTAGAAGGGGGTGTAAGATCAATAAGACGGGTTTGCGGAAATCGTCGACGAGCTTTTTTTTTTTTTTTTTTTKTTGAGCTTTCTTACATCATATGACGCGGGTGTTTGCGGAACGGCTCGTGGATTAACCCGTCCTCGGATGTAGGGGCAGCGTTTTAATGAACGACGTTAATTTTCCCGTATTCTGAATAATTTTTGTCGATCTGAGTGAGCTCTTGAGTCTTATCCTGGAGGCAGCGTTTTTATGAACGACGTTAATTTTTTTTCGCGTATTCTGAATAATTTCTGTCGATCTGAGTGAGCTCTAGAGTCTACGATGAGGACTCTTTTTGAGTATGGTGAGGCCGCGGTCGCTTTCTGCGTTTTGTGAATGGATGTATGCGTGCCGTCCGTCCTATGATTGATCGGTCGAATTCGAGCAAACTAGTATGTCTCCTCGAAAAAAAAAAAAAACTTTGTGACGATATATATATATATGCTACGGTTTACCGGGCAGCTCTGTTTGACGATTTATATGTAGGTATATTCTATATGTCGTCAAACAGAAGTGCCTACGGTAAACCGTACTAGGCAGAGAGGGAGGGAGAAGAGGGAGAAGAGGACAACAAACGAGGGGCTGTGTGACAAAAAACTGTTTCGTCGTCGGAGTTTCACCGACTGACTCATCAGGAGGAGGCTGAACCCTCAACAGTCTGCACAGAATCCCCTAACTCATTAATTACACTGTAAGTGATATATATATGATGAGTCGGTGAAACTCCGACAAACAGAACTGCCCGGTAAACCGTTGGCAGAGAGAGAGAAGAGGACAACAAACGAGGGGCTGTGACAAACTGTTTCGTCGGAGTTTCACCGAC